CACATTGTGCGATGACTAATATTGATAGACTTAGACTTTCTCAGCAGTGCAAAGATCTAAGACATCTCCAAAGGCCTCATGATGAAAAATGCTATCCATATCCAAAGAAAAAACTATGGAGTTTAAATACAGATGGAAGCATACTATTTGCCTTCTGTTTTGTTTTGTTTCTTCTTTCTTGTGATTCCTTCTATTGGTTCTAATTCTTCCTTACAACATGACTAATGTGAAAATATGTTTAATAGGAATGTATTTGTATAGCCTATATCAGATTGCATGCCGTCTTGGCAAAAGAGGTGGGAAGAGAGGGGGAAAATAATTTAAAACTCAAAAGCTTATAGAAGTGATTGTTGATAACTCAAAATAAATTAATAAAAAATAAAAAATATAGAAAAAAGAAAGTATACCATGCTGCTGTGTGAATGAAAGCATGTTAAATGGGTTTTCTATCTGGGTTTTATATATAGGCCCACCCATCAGACTGAACATGTATTGGCAGCTTCTTCCAGGTAAAACCTATTCTTTTACTCCCATATAAGTAACACACAGCTTTAATGTGAAATCACAAGGGACAGGGGACTGATCTGTTTAAAGAAGCTTTTTACATTTCAGGACTATTGTTTGTGCTCCAAAATGCCATTAATGGGACTTATTCCAAAGTACAAGTTGGAGTTAACTAGGGTACCACGGGATGTTGTTTTGGTACCAAAACACTCTGGTCTTTGGATTTTTTTCTATTTTTTTTCTTTAGCCAAAACATTTTTTCAATATTTGGAAAGCAACCGATGCTTGAAACCCAGGTCACTTCTTTTCCATAATGAAGTCACGGTTATGCTTTCCATTTACAGGATGTTCTTCTCCCTGATGCTTTAGTTGATTTCTAGAACTATTTGAACTGTTCAAAGTAATATTAACTGCTATGGTAATATAACCAAGTAGTGTTTGAGTCAGAAATCAGCTCCCAGGGGAAAATGGATGTTCTTAATCCCTGCGAATCATCTTGGATTCTGGGCAGATGGGCTGTCTTGCAATGGCTGGCACATGTCATTGATGCAGAAGATGCTGTTACATTACAATGCACACTTTAAACAGAAGTTTACTTAGCCACTTTGGCAGATAGGGATGTTACAAATAGAGTCTTCTTCTCTCTAGGATCATGGCTAATAGGGACTTTTAGCAGCATAGGAACAACAGCAAAAAACCCAACTCATTACTTCCTTATTCAGTATTGGGGAAGGAAGGAAGATGAGGTTGTTTTTTTTTTCCCAGTTGTTCTTGTCATTCTTATACAAAACTAATGTTAATGTCCTCTACATCAGCGTGGTTTTATTATATGGGTTGTGTTTAGTAACATCTTTCTTAATGGCCAAGCTATTTGGGAGAAGCCTGGGCACTAGGCCTTTGGTTGAAGAGTTTACTAATACACCCTCAAGTTCTGTTCTTTTCTTTACCATCTCTATTATCCACGGCTGGGAACGAACCTTTGTGCTGTATAAGTTGTAGCATGCAGTGACAGGGTATCATGAGTTCACTGTATGCCTAATTCTATGTTATGAAAACCTTTCACTAAATTCTTAAATTGACTGGTTTGAAATGAGCATTGTATCATGCCTTAATCAAAACTTGCATAAGAACTTGCAATCATAAGAACTTGCAAAATTGGCATAGGGTATCAAGGAGAAGGGAAGGGAAATATAAGCTCTTGATCTGCCCTTATTGTCTAACCCTGGCTTATAGTACACTGGTAAGTGACTTTGTTCAAGTGTTTGTTTCCAGTTTTCATATAAGACGTTAGAATCATAGAAGTGTAGAGTTGGAAGGGATGTCTGAGGTCTTTTAATCCAACCCTTACATGAAGCACGAATCCTTTAGGCTACCTTCCCACTATGGAGTCCTATGTTTACTAAGATATGATTGCTATCTTTTAGGGAGAATAAAATAAATTGATTCTTACATCCTTTAATGATCAATATTACCTTAAAATACATTTATTAAATGTAATTATTTTCATGTGTGATTATATGAATAATACACAGATTAAATTGTACTATAGTATAATCCTATATGCCCAATTCTACAACAATCTTAAATTTAGAATTGTACATTGCAATTGTATGTTTGCAATCAAGTGCAGTATCACTGTAATATATGAACATATGATTAAAAAAATTAGCACTAGTCTTAGAATCAAAAGACCTGGGTTTGAATCCTGAATCTGCCACTTCCTGGCTGTGTGACCTCGGGGTAGTAATCAGCCTCTCTGAGCATCACTTCTCTCCTTTGTAAAATCGGGGTAAATGACAGTTGGTCACTGGGTTTTGTGAGAAAAGAACTTTGTGAATCTTAAAATGTTGATACTGTCCTAGAACCTACTTTACCGGTTTGTCATGATGATCAAATGAGATAATGGATGACTAAGCCCTGGGACATTCTCTTTCATATGTGTGCCCCACAGGAAATCTTCCCTAGACATGAATGAACTTCCCTACCAATACCTTTTATCAGCCAGAGGACATCTTAGTTCAATGAAAAGACATCTTATCAAATAGGATAGCAAATAAAGTGATGGGAAGGTTCCTTTGATTCCCAAATGAAGCACACTGTCCCACAGGTTACCATACCACCAATGGGGAAGAGAACAGATAAATAGGAATCATGCATGAGAGGATCAAACCTAGGGATCATACGTGGCCAGGACATATGCATAAAATGATACAAATACAGGATGCATCTATGGAGGGGTACTACTATAGGGAGCCTGTGTGGCTAGGGCAACCCAGTTCTGACTTTGCTGCTGCTCTCTTCTGAATTTCTTTGTTCTTTATTAATCTGTTGATCAGTTTGCTAGTCTCATGGTCACTGGTGGGCACGTCACATCTTTTGGGCATTGAATCTCTAGTTGAAGTTGGGCACTGCTCCAGTGGTCACTGCTGGATGTTCCTTAGCATATCTCTGCTTCCATTTTCTGAGCTTTACCTTTTTAGGACCACCTGATGGTCCTCTCAGCTTTGGTCTGCTACACTTTGGGAAATGGAGAGCCTTTTTATGCGAATAAGGTCAGACTGACACCTTTTTAATCATAGCCCTAGAGCATGAGCTACCATACTCATTTTTGGGACAGCCAAATAAAAACCAGCTAAAGCTGCCCAAAGCCCCAATGTGAAGATTTTTTTTTCAGTCCAACATCTGGTGTTGAGCTCCTTAACTCAAACTGCTATATTTCTTAGAGTTGAAAATTCCCAGGATTCTCTGGAGTTAGGCATAAAGAAAGAGTAATTTGTTCTAGAACAAAAGCCATGTGAAAGAGGAAGCATGATTGTATTGACTCTCTTGGACCACATTTCTGCTTTTATTATGTATATCTGTAAGGCACAAAACTCTTTGGCTTTGATGCTATATATTGTCCAGTAATTGGGCAATATATAGCATATATTGTTTGTCTCCTTGCATTTGAACAGTGCTTTGTAAGACATGAAATACTATATAAATGTCAACTACTATTATTTAGCCACTACCCAATCAATTGGATTATAAAATTATAAATAAATAATAGGCATCTTTTGCTTAAAAGAACCTCACTAGAATTCTGAAATTATTGACACGAATTAAAGTTGCAAATTTGCTACAAGGAAGAACAACTATTTTGTACTAAATACCCTTTTCTGTTTCTGCCTCTGATCACAAACCTTAGTTTCTGCTGTGGTTGTATATTGTAGCCCACACTTCAACCTCAGAGTATCAGGTAACGAATAAGCAGTAATTTCAAGGAGTGGGTTAGGGAATAGAAGGAAGGAGGGAATAGTAAAGTTGTCTAGGTTTCTTTAATGAAAGGCTTTAAAATAGAGCAAAGCTTTTTCAAAAGAACATTGAATTGTGAGTCCTGGAGAACTTTGATCTAAGTTTCTAGAGCGAATTGAAAAGACCATAGATGAGGATCTCATTCATTTGAGAGTTCCTCATGAAGAGAATCTAATTAGAAGACAGACAACTGCAGGAATTAATTTGGATAAAATCTCTAATATGGTAAATATATTTAAAATTTTTTTGAAAAGATATTTTTATTTGGGGATTGTGTTATAGGAAAGAGGATCCATTATTTTTTTGTTTTAGGACTATGGGTCTTACTAATGAGCAGAGAAAAATCATACTAAACAGGATTTGCCTGTTCAGAAAAAAACAAATTTTGTTTTAGGTTCCATTCAATATCAAATAAATAACATCCCCATCTGTGCTGTAACTGACATGTATTTAGTGTTTTAAGGTTTACTTTCTTCATAACAACCTGTGAGACAAGTAGTCTGAGAGTAGTATCTTATTTTGGGGGAAGTTTAATTGCACGTTGAACAACCAGAAGGAAGGTGCAGCATTTGGGAGAGGGATAGAGCCAAGGGAACAATTTTCTGAAGGACAAATAAGCCCATTTGAAGGCAGAGCTGAGGAAGGAAGACATCCATCCTGTCAATGCAGGGGTCATTAAATGCACTCTAAGCCACAATTGACTTAAGGTCCTCAGTTGGTCTTTCATCTTTATTTGACTTAAAGCTATGGATTATTACTGCAAGTCAATAGAAAAAAAGTAAATTTTTCAAAGATATTTAATCAAGAAGGTTACAATTAGCTAATAATAACAACAACAATAACCAGAGCTTATGTAGAATTTTATGGTTTGTAAATTGCTATACATGGGTTATCTCATTTGATGCTGCCCTATAAGGTAGGTGCTGTTATCCTTGTCTACAGATAGAGAAACAAGCTGAGAGCTTATTTGCCTAAGAGTCACATAGCTAATTGTCTGAGTCAGGATTTGAATTCAGGTCTTCCTATCTCCAAGTTCAAGGCTATATTTTTATGCTACCTAAATAAGATGAGAACCAAAAGAGGAGCGTGACAGAAAATATGGTGGGAATTGGAATGAAAATGTGAGACACTAGGGATACATTGTTCTATTTGAAGATTTATTTTCCAACTTTGAATGGTGATAAATTGAAATTATTTTCCAGCTTATGTTCAAGGACTTACCGCCTTGATAATTATCATCTTGGGAATCTTCATTGTCTATGTAATATACAGGTCAGTTTGTTTTTAAAGCATTTTTCAAAGTTATATTTAGGACTTGGACTATAATGAAATAATTGGGAATGAAGATTCTGAGGTCCTTTCCCTTCTGACTCAATGATCCTATGATTCCTTGCCTTCTGTAAGCCTATTCCTCCTGCTGACCCACATTCTTCTCATCCCCACACCACTTTGGATTTCACAATGTGGAAGGAGAAGCCCACCACTACAATTCCTGTCTCTGTTGCCTTTCTTAAACCTTTGCAGGATTTTTTTTTAGGCAATTGGGATTAAGTGACTTGCCCAGGGTCACACAGCTAGTAAGCGTCAAGTGTTTGGTCTGAGGCTGGATTTGAACTCAGCTCCTCCTGACTTCAGGACCAGTGCTCTATCCACTGTGGCACCTAGTTTCTCCCCTTTTGCAGGATTTTTGCCATTGTTCAGCTCACTGCCCAGGCTTGTTCTACTCAAAACCCCAATTCATAGTCAAGCTTAGGGCTTATTGTCCCAACTCTGCTGACAGTCCATTTGACATCAACTAAATATTTGCTCTTCAAGTCCCAACCCTGCTGAGGGCCTAATGCTCGCATAGTGGCCTTGGCTCCATCTTGTCACACAGTCCTCTCCTGCGTCTGGCTTCCTGGTCTTGCCTTTGGTCTTCTACCTTTCCTCCTTCCTCTTCAGATCTCATTCTAGCATCTGAGAAGCTTTCTTCCTCTGTTGGTGAACCTAGTTGTCAGATGGAATAGGATGGCAATGAGAATAGGAGAGTGGCAAGAAAAGGGAAAGGTTGAGTGATGCTAACGGGTGCTTCAGAGTATTCACTCATGAATCATAGAATTATGGACATGGAAAAGTGCTGGACCAAAATGGAAGAAATCTCCTAAATCTGACCAGGGCTCGCTCTCGTCCCCCACTAAACCTCTTGCCCAAGAACTACTTATTGAGGCAATAAGTAGTCATTAAACACCTGTCACTTGCAAGGTACATTGTTTATCATGGTATTCAGGGAGGACATTTTGTTACTCTTTGTTATTCTTTGTTTGACACTGTTACTGAAAGGAGTCCATCCCTTGGATGGGATCTACTTTTCTATGTCTAAACGATTGGTCAGTTCTTGTTCTTTGAGGGGGAAGACTATCTTGTCTTGTCATGATTCCTAAGCACTTTGTGCTTTGTGATATCAGAAGCAAGATCTATGGTGAAAAGAAAACTGGATTGCAAGGATATTTGAATTCCAGTCTCAGTTCTGCCATTAATTAGGATTTATCTTAATCTCTCCTCACCTTATATTCAATGCCTATGGAATGAGAGGATTGGAAGATTGGATTTAGATGGATTCAGTGAACTGGACTCCTAGCCTATCAAGTACTATGATTCCAAACCCTGTTAGCATGAGTAATTTCAGCTAACTTGTCTACTAGTCCCTGGCCCTTGCATTTCCCTAGTATTCTGTTCTAGAGTGGAAGGAAAGGAAATGTGATAAACCTAAAACCCCAAAAAGCAAGTGGTATGCAATCTTTGCTTTCCTAAGAACCCATGTGTCTAGATTTCTACTGTTCCATAATTGTTCTGAACTCTAAGGAAGTTACAGTTAGTTGTCATAGCATTTTAGAACTACACTGAGTCTTTAATTCAATATCATTTAATAGATTAATAAATGGAGGCCTAAGGATGTTATGTGACATAGTAGAATATAAGCTCCTTGAAGGCAAGGACTATTCTCATTTTTGTCTTTGTATCTCCAGCCCCTAGAACTATGTTAATTATAAAGTGGGCATTTAAAGAATGCATGTTACATTCTAGAGAATGTAAACTCTTTGAATTCAGGGACTGTTTCATTAATGATTTTATATTCAAGTAACTTATAGTAGCACATAATTGTTTGGGGGATGGTGTGTGTGTTGTTTGAGCATTTGTTGAATTTAATTGAATAAAATTTGTCAGCAGAATTGAAACTGGAACTCAGTTCTTTTGACTCCCAATCTGGTAACCTTTCCATTATGCCATGCTGTTGCTAGTACTGATGATTTTAAAGTTGTAATAAGAAAAAAATGGTCATTTTATTTATTTACTGGTATAAAAAAAATTCTAAGTCACAAAGTTAATGTCTCACTGTTTGATGGTTAAATGAGGGGCTGGACTGGTAACCTATTGAGGTTTCTGATATCTGATTTCTATGATTGAAATTCAAAATACTATTTTTATCAGAGTTGTACAGGGTAGAAATAAAAAGTCAACTCAAAAGTTGTATGGATTGCATCAAAAGAAGAAGAAATTGAAGCCTGAGAGTACCACAAACAATCATGAGATATCGGATGAAGAAGGTACTAAGTTACTGTGCATAGAAATCATAGAGTTCTAGAATCTCAGTTCTGAAAGGTCCTTATAGGTCATCTGGGTCAAAGCCCTTCCCAAAGCATGAATCTCCACCACGATACTGCCTAGGAGTGGTAGATACCATAGTGTTCTGATCAGAAATGAAATAATTGAGAGAACAGTCCAATAGATATACTGGTTTTTAAACAAATATGATGATTCTGTTGTTAATTTAGCCATCCTTGTTGGTCCCTCTTTCCCCTAAAATGCATAGTCTATGATTTTAAATGCTACTCTTAACTTTTATTTCCTTCTATTCTATTCCATTGCTGTAAAAACTCTTTTGGTGCCAACTTTTAAACATGACTAACTGAACCAAGAAAAGAAAATACTGACAGAGGACAGTAAGAAACCGAAGCGTGAGCTGTCTGAAGATGAAGGTACTAAATCCAACTGTATATAAATTATAGAGGCCTAGAATTTCAGTATTTAAAGGGTCTTTATTGGCCATAGAGCTCAAGTCCCTCCCCAAGGCATTAATTCCGTTTGCAACATTCCCTTAGAGTTGTGGACACCATGGTTTTGATCAGGAATCAAACAGTAGTTAGGAAAGTGAACCAATAGATAATACTACTTTTTAGACAAATACAATGATTCTTTTTATAAATTTGGACAACAGTCTATTTGCTCTCTTTCTTTCTCTTTGTCTCTCTGTCTGTCTCTGTTTTTGTGTCTTTGTGTGTCTCTGTCTCTGTTTCTCTGTCTCTTTCTCTCTCTCACTCTCTCCTAAAGTGGAAGGTCTAGCACTATAGAATGGTAAATTTCATTCTCAACTTCTTTTCCCTTGCTACAAAACCCAATATTATGATGGAATGGAACTTCCTACTACTTAGTATTTATATGCATAATTCCCCACACCTTTCCCTTTTAATTGAAATTGACCCTTTCCCTTCAATGTTGCTGCTTCTTACTACAAAACTCTCCTTGGTTTTAGGGAAGCCTTAAAGAGGAATTAAAATAGCTACCACTGAATTTATTACAGTAGTTGAAGAGTACAGTGAATGGTGTGGAGTAATTAAGTACTCTTCCTTTGACTTTGAGTAAATGGGGTTTCCCCACCTATTTAAGAACTCTTTGAAGGCCTTGAAAAGACCTTTTGTGCTGCCCAGCGACCTGTCAAAGGGCCAAATAACATGAGGAGAACAAACCCTTCATGGAATAATAATAATGGCTGACATTTATTTAAAACTTTAAGGTTTGTAAATCCCTTTACTTATGTTATTATTTCATTTGATTCTATGTCATTATCACACAAGCTGGCTGAACATGTGGGGAACAGTTTTTTGTGGTGATTGGGAAGTCTCACCTTTATATTACTTCTGGATTCAAAATATCTCATAATCTCTGCCCCCAACCACTAGAAATACTTTCCTTCCTCTAGGTGTTGACTTCTTGTGATAAGAAAAGTAAAGTATTTTAATTAATAGCAAAAGAGGGTAATAACAACAACATCAGACATGACATGGTAGCAAAAAATTTCTCTACCATTTTCCTCTGTTTGAGGAGAAAAATCAGGTAGTCCTGTGGTTTAGCATAAACCTCTCTTTTCCTGATATTACTGAAATAGAGAGTTATCATTCATGGCATTTTTCTAGGGAAGTGGCTGACCACACCATCCAGTCACCCTGTGCGCTGCTTTTGGCTCTGGACCTTGACTTCATCACTATCAATGGATCAGCAGTATATGACTTCTAAAATTACCTATTTTGAACTAAGCTTCTGGTCTTATGGACCTGTCGGTATGCAGGAGAGGGAGGAGAGAACTCTCTATGATTACAAACTAAGGTTGGAGAAGGCATAGTGGATAGCAATCTCTGCACTCTGTGGACATTCATTACCTTTCACCTTGGCTACTCCTTCTCTGTCTCCACTGTCTAATTTGATCTTGCCTCTGGGATGTCCAGTATCCTTAACCACTGGTGCCCTACTACTTATAAATAGCATCCTGCAGAACTTATCCTAGCATCTTCACCTCCAATCCCTATCCCATTTATAGGTCTGAACAAAAACAGCTGTTGTCCAAACATGCATCAGCTAAAATGAATGGTATTACAATTCTGCACCCACTGAAAGCATTTTGTCTAGTGAAGACTGGAGAGATCCTATTCAGTAACTAGTAGAAGGATTTGGAAATGGTAAGCACTCTGTGTTTCCTAGAATGCACGCAGATGTACACATAGCTGGATTCCTTAATGATGTACCTTTTTTCCTAGAAAAGCTCAGAAGAGATTTCTCATCTGCCCTGCTTGTGAAATATCCCAGTTATACTAGACTTTACTCAAGTGAGACTTTCACTGAGGTGTCTAGATGGGTTGATATTCTCCCTTCTTTCTTAAATTCTCTATTTTGGGGATGAGGGAAAATCTGCTGCTTTAGTGTTTATTTGTACCTCATATGACATCCGTTTCCCCCCCTCCCCCAACAAACCCTTAACCCTTACAATCTTTAGAATCTTTTTACAGCTGAAAGGGACTTCAAGAGTTCCTTTTTTTGGGGGGCGGATGCTCTGCTTTTTTTTTTCCAATGTAGCTGCATACCTTAGCATTCTTCTTGTTCTCCTAAAGCAGTCTTTCAGTTGCTTTTCACCATAGCTGCTACTCCAATGCTCAGGATTCTTCAGGAACCCTAGAGCCTGAGGACCTCTAGCTTTGGTCTGTATTACCAACCTGTAGCTTATTACAACCAGTGGGGCTGCCTCCACATCCAAGCCTTCAGCCAGCCAGCTTCCATCAACAAGACAGCCTTGACTGGCTCCCTGGGCAGGTTCTGCAGCTTCTCTAGTCAGCCCCTTCTGATGAAGTTCCCCTATTATAATACCTCTCTTTTTTCATCCCTAGTCAACTATGAAATGCTATGTCCTGGACTTGCAGATCATGATTTCCATCAAATAGCTCTGTCCCAGTTAAGGAATTGTGACCCTCTAAGGATATAAAGAGTCAGAAGCATTCCCAATATAATCATGGTGCCTTAACCAAAGGCATTGCTGTGGACTAGTAGATAGAGTGCTAGACCTACATCCAGGAAGGCCTAGGTTCAAATCCCACTGTTGACACTAAATGATCCTGGGCAAGATACTTAAACTCTCTAAATATCATTTCCTCTTTTATAAAAAGGGAATAATATTTATAGTTTCCACTTCTGGAAGCAACTAGGTTGCTGAGATGATACAGTGTTGTCTGGAGTTGGAAAGACCTGATTTCAAATCTGGTCTCAGACAATTACTAGCTGTATGACCCTGGACAAGGTACTTAACCTCTATTTTCCTCAGTTTCCTTAACTATAAAATGAGGATAACAACAGCATCTATGTCGCATGATTGTTGTGAGGATCAGATGAGATAATATTTGTAAAATACTTGGGACAGTTTCTGGCACATAGTAGGTAATATATAAATGCTTGTTCCCTTCTCCCCTTCTCCCCAAGGATTGTTGTAAGAATCAAATGATATATCATGGAAAGTACCTTGAATAATTTTTTTTTTTTGGTGAAGCAATCAGGGTTAAGCGACTTGCCCAGGGTCACACAGCTAGTAAGTGTCAAGTGTCTGAGGCCAGATTTGAACTCAGGTCCTCCTGATTCAAAGGCGAGAGCTCTATCCACCGTGCCACCTAGCTGCTCCCCTTGAATAATTTAAAGTGTTTTATTTTTATTATTCCATAATCTTGATGTTTTATTGTGCCAACCTGGGGCAGCAAGAGCAATTGAGTGGCCTGCCTAGAACTGTAGTGCCTTTCCCCAGTCTCAGCCATGCTTATGAAGGTGACACTATATTTCTTAAAGGGATGATAGATATTTTGAATCTATGGTGCTCTCTCTTTGTATAGCAGATAATTTCTTTCTCCAAGTTAATTTACAGTGGATAGAGTGCTGGATTTGGAGTCAGGAAGACTCTTACTAGCTGTGTGACCTTGGGCAAGTCATTTAACCTCTGTCTGCCTCAGTTTCCTCATCTTTAAAGTAGAGATAATAATAGCAACTACCTCACAGGGTAGGTGGGAGGATCAAATGAGTTAATATTTATAAGGCATTTTGCAAACCTTAAATCACTAAATAAAAATGAGCTATTATTATAGCTATTTTTTATTTCCACTCTACAGCTTAGTGGATCAAGATCTTTATTAATACAGGGACAATGAACATGTTCTGATATTTCTCCTGTACCCTAATGACTTAAGTCCATCCCATGTTCACAGGGAAATTTTTTCCAAAATCTTTTATAGGTAGCAGCAATTGAAAGAAATGAGACAGTTTCCCTTCTTAGGTGGCTTAATGATGCCAACTGAAAAGCAATCACCACTCAAACCTTTTGCTCCATTCCACTAGCACATATATGGTTGTGTTTCAATGGGGAAGAAAGGTGGATAGGGCAAAAATAACCTAATCAGAGTTCACAAGTTAGAGATGCCCCAGGTTTGTACTAAGATCCATCAGGTTCCTTAGCAGCACTGATCATATCATTTCTTGGTTAATGAAATATTTGCCTGTCTTGTGGCATATAGAGATTTCATAAGACTTCATGAGATCTTGGTTTGCTGATTATTGTGATTGAAAATTGCTTTTGCTTCTTTTTGTTGTCATCTAGTTATATTGACAGTGCCAGCTCGGGAAGAAGAGTTGGAATAAAGGGACACAATAAAACCGAGGAGGAAATAACCAATAGTGATGATTAAGGGACAATTTCTTTGGCAGGTTGGGTTCTATTATTTTATATGATGGAGCTGTCATTTCATCTGGAGAAAGAATACAAATGTTATTTTCCAAAGGGCTATTTGTGCTGCATTTTCCTGTTCAATTCTATCTATCTATCTATCTATCTATCTATCTATCTATCTATCTATCTATCTATCTATCATCTATCTATCTATCTATCTATCTATTTATCTATCTATATATTTGTGGAGGGAGGAATAGAGAGAGGGAAGGAGGGAAGGAAGGGGAGAGAAATGAAAATAAATTTATTAAGTGATTACTGTGTGTCCAGTACTGTGTGTGACAGATGAAAAGTCTGAGAAACATAATTTCTGGGTAATTAATAATTAATTAATTATGGCTAGCAAATAGTTAATAGATCAAAGTCAGCAATTTTCTCTCATAAACCAAAGAACCTCTTCCCCCCTCAACATTGAATGCTAAAAAAAACCTTTGGAAAAGGGAGTGAACCTGAGAGGGGAAATCAACTCTGATTGGTTAATAACTAATGAGGGGGTGGTGGACATATTAATGAGGAGGAGGGACTCCTCCTGCTGAGAACGTGATCGCTTTAGGAGAGTCGGCTGCCTCCAGCAAATTGGACAAAAGAATCCATCTCTACTCAGACTACTCTGGTTGGTTTTCTCTTTCATAAACTGGATCACCTTAAATTCTAATGGAAGATTCCAAGGACAGGGGCTTATTTCCTAAGGGCAAAATCTCACCTAGAGTGAATTTTGTTTGTAAGGTCTTTTAGTTGGGTGGAGTCCCACCCAAGATTGAGAAGCCTGTACCCAGAAGATTTGAGCAATCTCATCTACCAGCAACGTCCTTCAGAGACTGACCGAATAACCTACTGGGGCTGGTTTCTGAATGAGAAAACAGGAAGGGAAAACCTTAATCCTAATGCAATAACTGACTATTAATATAAGCATGTGCACAGCACTGAGAATACAAATACAAAAGCAAAGACAGTCTTAGACCTTAAGAAACCTACATTTTAATAGGAGGTAACATATAATAAAGAATGATAACCAGGGAAGGTATATTTTGGAAAGTTACAGAGATAATGAGTGGAGCCATGCTTTCCAGGAGCCATGAAGGAGTTGATTGATCGATGGTTCCAGGAAGAGTAAGGGGGAGTGTGGGGATGGGGGAAGGGGAAGACGTTAGAGAGAAGACATACACATTATCAAAGTAAACGGTGAGACCGTTGTGAAGTGGCTGGAAGTGGGCCTGGATGTAGTGAGCAAATAAGACAATCCCTACTTCTAGCAGCAGGGTCCCAGGTTGGGAGGTTGGGGGGAGAAGGGGTTGCATTGTGCAGGGAATGGTTTCTGGTCCAGGTGGGAGGGCTGGTGAGAAGGTAGCTGAGAGAAGCAGAGCTGGAGCTGAAGAGAAGAGAAAGGGAGGAGGGGAAGAGAAACATTTGAAATATTTAACTGGAAGTACTTGGCTTTTTCCCCCCAAATTTTAACATTTTTATTTAAAGTTTTGAGTTCCAAATTCTGTTCTTCCCTCCCTTTCTCCCCTTCCCCCTCCCTGAGATGGTAAATAATTAGATATAGATTATACATGTGCAGTTATGTAAAACATTTCCATATTAGTCATTTTGAACAAAATTCAAATAAAAGAAAAAATGAAAGTAAAAAATAGCATGCTTCAGTCTATATTAAACAAATATAATTTCTTTCTCTGGAGGTGGATAGTATGCTTCATTATTAGTCTTTTGGGATTGTCTTGGATCATTTTATTGCTAAGAATAGCTAAGTCATTCACAATTCTTCATCAAATAATATTGTTATTACTGTATACAACATTCTCCTGGTTCTGTTCATTTCACTATGCATCAGTTCATGTAATTCTTTGTAGGTTTTTCTGAAATTATCCTGCTTGTCATTTCTTATAGCACCATAATATTCCATTACAATCACATACCACAGCTTGTTTAGCCATTCCCCAATTGATGTACATCCCTTTGATTTCCAATTCTTAGCCACCACAAAAAGAGTTGCTATAAATATTTTTGTACAAATAGGTCCTTTTTGGGATGCCTTTGAGATATAGACCTCACAGTGGTATTGCTGGATCAAAGGGTATGCACAGTTTTATAGCGCTTTGGGCATAAGTATTTGGTCTTTTTAAAGGACAATATGTATATCTAGCAATGAACCTGTAGCATCTTAATGACTGATCTCTAGTTCACAGCTAATGTCTTCAATTTCAGGGGCAATTCCTTCAATACAAAAGCATTTATTGTCTATTGTGTGCTAGGTGCTGAGACTACAAAGACAAAACAAACAAAAAACCCTCTCTAGTTCTTGTCCTCAAGGACTTACATTCTCCGAGATAAGATATACTTACATGGCAGCAAGGTGGTACAGTGGATGGAGCACTGGACCTGGAGTCAGGAAGACCTGAGGTCAAATTCGGCCTCAGAAACTTATTAGCTGTGTGATCCTAGGCAAGTCACTTAACCCTGTTTGCCTCAGTTTCCACATCTGCAAAATGAGTTGGAGAAGGAAATGGCAAATCACTCCAGTATCTCTGCCAAGAAAACCCCAAATAGGGTCACGAAGAGTTGGACACCACTGAACAACAACAACAAAATATACTTATACACATAATTAAACACAAGCTATGGCTTCCTGTCCTTGAATATGGTTTGTTTCTGGCACTATCCTAGAACTCATCATGTTGGAAAAATTAACCCCTCTATGAGCTGGAGACTCATAGGAGAATGGAAAAATAAGGTGAGTCATGGTCTCTTTTTCTAGGGACATGAGGGTATTTTGAAACCTATACAGTACAATTTGAAGGGGATGGGAAAAAAAAGCTTAACCACAATCTTTCTGTCAGTACTCATTAGTATGCCTTCTCTTTCCCCTTGTGACTTGAATAAATAAGTGTAATTGCTATTTAAATAACACTTTAAAGTTTGCAAAAATGGTCTACGTGTATTATCAGATTTAAGCCTCAAAACTACTACATGAGAAAGGTACTATAAATATTATTCTGCTTTCACAGATGGGGAAGTTGACTCCATTTGCTCATGATCAATCACATAGCTAGGGTCAGAAGTGCAAGTGGAACCTGCTCCGATTGACTAAAGCATAGCACTAAATCTTTGATGTATTTCCTGTTTGTATTTCAGTAGGAATAAATTATTTCTAAAAAAAAAAATCTCACTTGTTTGGAATTAGCACTACTTGAATTTGATATGTACACTTAAGAAAAAAATATGCAAATGAAGAGGGATTCACCCAGATTAACTATTTTCAAAATCTGATAGCCTTATTTAAAATTGCTATGGAATTTTATGCTATTTTATTTACATCACTTATTTTTTTTTTTCTGATTGTAGTAAGTACAAAAAGTGACTACCTCTTTGAAGTCTGGCTTCCAATCTCATCACTCAATTGAAACTGCCTTCTCCAAGTTCCTAGCAAGCTCTTAATTGCCAGCTATAAACTTTCCCCAATCCTCATTCTTCTTGACCTATTTGCTGTATTTGACTCTGTTAACCACCCTCTTCTTTTGGAAAGTATCTCCTAGATTGTCCTCACTAACATTTACATGGCACTTACTATGTACCAGGCACTGTGCTAAGCGCTTTACAAATATGTTCCCATTGGATCTTCACAACAGCCCTGGGAGGTAGATGCTATTATTATCCCCATTTTAGAGATGAGAAAACTGACTCCTGGTTTTCCCCCTACTTGTCTGACTACTACTCAGTTATAACCAGGAGTATACCCCAGGCTTCTGCCCTGTGCCATTTTCTCCTTCCCCATAGACTCTTTCTTGGTAATTCATCAACTCCCGTTGGTTGGATGCACCTCAGATCAAAGAGGTAGAGAGGTAAAGGCTGCTCAACACTGCCCCCTACCTTGATGTGTGCATACCACAGGTAGTGACCGTTTGCCTCCCTCCGCTCCCTAACCAAATGCCACTGTCTTCTGTTCCACACAGGTACACTATGTTCACCTTGGCCTAGAAAGTAGTAAAGGAGGTTCCCCTCGGTTGTACCTACCTAGGTGTGGGAAGGAGCGGTGGGGGGACCCTAGACGCTCATATCAACACCTCTTTTCCTATCCTCTCCACTCCATTTATATATATTTGTATAGATATTTCCCCATATGCCTAGTACGGACATCTTCTGCAGCACCAAATGTTGGAAGCCTTTTCTTTCTTCAAGGTCTGTATCAGGTGCCTCCAAGAAGCCTTCCCAGATTCACCACCTAAACCATGTAGCACCCAAGTATGTGCTACAAGATTTAGGTAGAGAATAGACTGATGAATTATGCTAATTTTTAAAGTAAAATAATTTAAAAAAAATTATCATAGAAGAATCATTGCTGGGAGTATAGGAACTGGTGTACTCTCCTCTCCTTAGACATACAGATCTTTCTGGGTTCATTTCTGAAAATCCTTGATAGCTAATTAGGGGATTATACTTTCTAACCCCCACCATGTTGCTAGTCTGGTAGATGCCACTGCCTTATTTGTGTCGATGGGCATGGCTTCTCAGTAGCATCTACAGTGTAGTCACAGACTTGTAGATCTTTGGAAATTCGCAGGGCTGCCTAGACACTTCTGCCTCAGGATGCTTGTTCTCCCAAGGTCAGGAAAGAACAAACACAAAGAGAGACAAAGGCAGGCCAGGGTCCCTGACGGAGCTTGCCTTAGTAAGTCCCTTTGCATTAGCTGCCATGTGGGTGAGATCACCATTATACTGGAATAGAGAAGGACCTTTTCCTTCCTTAACCCTCACTAAGAGTCATTCACATCTTGCTTTCCGGAAAGGCATAGCCAAGAGGCCAGATCCAGAAGCTGTTTCTTTTTAAAATGTCCCCAGAGTCATCAGCTTTTCCAGCACAGCAGTCAATTATAAGACTCTTTGTCATCACACAATACAAGTCTCTTCAAATGGG